ATATAACTGCGTGTGTTTCCTAAACTGTTCTGTTCTGCAGTACAACAACATCACCACCATCACGGACGACACGTTCTGCAAGTCCAACAACACGCGGTACATCCGCACGCGCATGGACGAGATCAGGATGGAAGGCAACCCCATCGTCCTGGCAAAGCACGTCAATGCCTTCTCCTGCCTGAGAATGCTGCCCGTGGGCACCTACTACTAACCCCTGCTTCTGCCACTGCCCAGGCCAGAACTCAGCCATGGTAACAAAGGATCCTTTCTTCCTCTGTTTACAAGCTCCTATCCTCTCCCTCACTAATGCTGTTTTCCCTGCATACCCAGAACCTTCTCCGACGTTGAAGTGTGGTTCTGCTCTGAAATAACTATTTCTAAACAGTCACTTTATTCAGTAGTTGTGGTGTCACTGCTTTCAGAATCTTTTCCGTTAATGAACATGTAAAAATACATATATGCACACACATCTCAACCCTCACTTCATCACTCTTTTCGTGGAGGTAAAATCACACAGTAACTGCTGGTTCACATTCTTTGCCAGTATTCAGAACAATCACCACATTTTACTTTCAGATAAATGCAGCACACTCTTGGAGCAAGCTACACAGGCAAAATACTTCTTTTAATTCCAATGCCACTCTTTTAATCTGAAATGAAATCTCTTCAGTTGCCCTTCAAAAGTGTATTGGATGAAGATGCATACAAACAGAACTTCTCAAAGGTTAATTTCATTAAAGTTTCCTTAAAAACTTGGTTTGTGAAAAATGAAAACAATTCCTATTAAGGTTTAGTTCACCAAGCAATATAGCAACTGGAACTTTTCAAGGTTGTGTTAAATCTCCTTCTACTGTTTTGCTTTGAAAATCATCTAAGAATGTGTATGTATAAAAATACAGGTTTTATTTTTACACAGGGCAGTTTTAAGTGAAATATATAAGTTTTGCTGAGCTGTACTCACAAGAGCTGTTTTTGCAACACCAGTTTCCCATTTTAACACAATGGTCAAAGTCCAGCATCGTATGACTATTAATTATGACTAAAGCTATTAATGAATGATGGAGACTGAGCCTTGTTCCACAGCTTTTTCTTAAAGGAAATGTGACAATATAATTAACAGCAAGCTGAATTCATGTTTCTTACCTGTAAATAAGTATGATTTCAGCTAGATGTCAGTGAGGAGAAACAGAACTACCCTTGTACAACAATACTTCTGCTCATTAGGGAAAAATTAAATCAGACTTTCAAATTAAAAAGAGAAGGTGATTCTATCACTAATCTAAAAAAAAAAAAAAGTTAACTTCAAGCACCATTTCACTCAACTACTTTAAACCATGCAGTGTATTAAAAACACAAATTGAGTGTGCAGGCCTTGACAGTCAGTTTATCTAAAACTAGACATAACTGATATAGGAACACAATAATTTTTATTACACAACTATAAACTTCTGGCATTGTTTCTCCCCTCAAATACCTACCAGAGGTGTGAATGCCAAAGGTGTGTTAGTTCCTATTACCACATCAACTCTAAGTCTGAAGCTACTATAGATTCCTAATTTGTAGATATAGTTAAGCATCAAATGCATGATGATGTATCAGTACATCTAGAATACTGATTGTACAAGATATTTTGTATTTTATTTATCTTATTTAGCTAAGCCTTGATTTGTTAGTGCTTGTGCTCTGGGGAATTGATGCCCACTTAATTCTGAACACAGTGATGTTCTGTCACTCAGTGCTGAGGCTTAAGAGACTTTCAGCCAGTTTTTAAGTAACTTTGTCAAGCATCAACTGTGGGCTCATCTTTCTGGAAAGAGGATGCAACCATGAAATGCAGCACAAAAATATTTTTGATCTGAACCCACTACCCAAGAAAGACACAGCAATCCCAATATTTTTCATTTTAAGTTACTTGGTTTAACAAAAAATTCCATTGCCTTAATTACAACTGAGACCAAACCCGAAGTCCGACAGTAATACTTGGTTTTAATTTTTCCAAGTAAGTCATAAAACTTCGATGTTTCCAGGTTTTTAGCAAAAGCTTAAAAATAACTCCAAAGCATGTAAAAAACACATTCCAATTTCAAGCCAAATTTATACAAAAGCCACCAATTCTCTCATCCCTCTTACGATAAAAGCCTAAGATGGAGAAAACACAGCTGGGTGTTTCCTCTGAGTTACATAAGTAGTGGCCTCTGATCTTTTTCTCATCACAAATCATTATTATTAAGGGGAAAAAAAAAAGAGCTCTTTCCAGTATTAATAGGATCAGTAAATATCACCAAAACTCTTCCTATGGAAACAATTATAAGTGTACACATAAAAACAAGCAGAGTTTTGTAATATATACACACAAGTAAACATTCTGAGACCTAACACTGCCACACCATTCATTTGACATCAAAATGTTGTAGATATTTTTGAAACGTGCTAATTATCACCAGTAATGCTAATTAATACTCTTAATACTTCGTAAGCAAACAAAAACACACAACTGGTACCTTCTGAATGCCCAGTGAAGGCAGTAAGTTATCTGATGTGTTTTAATTTCCTTTCCCCATCCATGGCAAGGTAAATAATCAAAACAAGAAGTGAGAAGGGCTTCAGCAGGGAGGATTTTCACCTTCTATTTGTGTGACCAGTACTAATATCAAGCTGAATGTATCAAGCTGAATGTAAACCTTTCTATTTTTTTCCTATCACTCGTTTCTGTTCTGTATCTCCAATAAAACTTGAATTTTTTTTTCTTGTTTATCAGTATCAGCTTCAACAATCTGCTCTCCCAGCATTGCCAACCTGTTTCAGTTGTTCATCCTCACAGCAGAGGAAGATCAGAAAGTTATTTGCAGCTGTAACTCCATTTGCAGACATAATATTTATTATGACAATACAGTGAGACCTGCCATACAAAATACTCGGGGGACACTTCATTTACCCCTTCAAAATCTATTTGAAGCACTACCTTGAATTGTCATTCACCTCAAACATTCAGTATTATCTGAAGTATTCAGTCACTTCTACATTATTGATGTCTTTTCAAGTATGAAAACTAACAGGAAAGAAAAAATTTGGTGTTTTTGCACCAAAAGTAAAGTATGAGAAACTGTCTATTACTACTTGGCAGCCTGGGCAATTTTCTTTTACATCTTCAAAAAGCTATAAACCCAAGACTCCACCCCAAAGAGTCTCTCCAGTGCAGTGTACAGTTACCTACCTGTATATTTGCAGTAGAGAGCAGGTTGGGGGAGGGTGGAAATCAATACAAAGATTACAGACTCATTTTTAATGTTGTGTGAGTGTGAACATTAACAGGATAAGACTTTTCAGTTGTTTTTATGCATATGGTAAAAACATACCTCTAGTTCTTTCACACAAATTATTACAGAATGTTGAGTTACAAATACACATTCTCCTTTGCAATCTGGTTATTTGAATTGTCAGAGTTGATCTTTGAAGCCTTTATTAATTCTCTTACCTGAGAATGTCTTCTGTTTCTAAATGAAATGATTATTAATGCCAGCAGAAATAAGAAGGCCTAAAAAAACCCTCTTCATAAACACTTAGGCAGTCATACTTGGTAAATATTCTCCCAAATTGCCTTTCTCAACAGCATCCTTGTCCATGGAAATAAAAATACCTTTAGAAAGAACATCTGTAATATTGACCAACTTGTAATATGTCTTCAGAGAATTTTTGTTCACACTTATTTTAACAATTAGTAGATCCCTTCATTATTTACACTCAACATCTGAATAAATATTTTTAAAACTGTTTATATACACAACAATTTTCTGTGAGTAAAAATTATCTCCAAACCTACCTCCTTTCTATTTCTGCCTTTTTTTTATTATACTTTAAAGTGAGAAATATTTCCAGTAGTTTACTGAATCACTGTCCCAGAAACCAGTGACTGCTGTCATGAGGCTCATCTAAGGATCAAAAAGCATCAAGTGAAGCTTGAAAAAAGACAATCACAAAGCCATAAAGCCCTGGGTGCTCTACCTTTTCTATGGAGGGATTAAAGAAAAGCCTTTATTCAACAGCCAGCAGGATTAGACAATATCAGTTTATTGCTCAGCTGAGGACAGGATTATTTTTTAACATTATCAGAAAATAGTACTTTTTTTTCTCTATTCTGGTTGATTTGATAATAGAAATGGATTAACTTGGCACAGAACTCAAAGGCCTAAAACATTCAAAAAATAGGAAACAATGCAGTTCCCACTTCATATTCCAGCTGAAAAGTAAAGATGGAACTGGGTTCAATGAGAGTAAATGCTTGAGGTAAAGAAAAACTGAACTAAAAAGCCACAAATAATTAAGCACATAAACATCCTCCTCTAACATTAAGCACCGTGTAAGATGTTTTGTCTGTCAGACTGACGTGTTTTTACTCCAAGGATTAATTGTTTATCTTAAAACCAGTACAAAGCCAAAACAAACAAGCCAAATGCTGGCAAGTTAAAACCAAGTTCAAATACTGTGTTCCAGTTAGGAGGGAGCAACAGTTTATCTCCCATACAAGTAAAACAGTTCAGAACTCAAAGCACTGTGGTCCAAACACAGGCTGCCACATCTTCAAGAGAAACAGATCCAGCCCTTCAAAACCAATGTTTACATGCCAAAGACTACAAATGTTATTTTCTTTTCATTTCTTCTTTTGCTCCTTTTTTTTTTTAAATCAAAATAAGATTTAATACCAATGAAAACTGTCTTGCTCCCTCACAGAAAGGCACAGGCATTCTTATTTTTCCCCACCCACGAGGAACACAGCAATAGTATGATAACAATCAAGAGAAAAACCAAGCAAAGGCATTGCCCCTTGAACACAAAACAATTTTTTTAGCTAATATTTTCTTCTCCACAACATACAAATTTAAGATGCCCATATTCTGCTAAAGAGTGCAGGTTTCACCTCCAATGCTGTGTCTTAATGAACTGCTTAAAGAAACAAATACAGTACTAATAAATGATAATAAATAAAGGCTTGATAACACTACCTTGAAGTGCAGGAAGGTGCGTCTGCGATGCTCAAACCACTCCGCGTAAGTTGAAAGGCTTCTGAAAAACGTTGCAAGATTTCCACGTTCTTCAACGCTACAAAACAAAAATATATTGTTTAACCCAGTCTTAAGCAGATGTATCAGTTCTATAGCCTAAAATTTGCACCTTGTCTTTTCCAGTATCCCATCTAACCCTGCCCTGTGGCAGTGGGAAGCCATTCCCACTTGCCCTGTCATTCCAGGCCCTTGTCCAAAATCCCTCTCCAGCTCTCCTGGAGCCCCTTCAGGCACTGGAAGGGTCCCCAGGATCTCCCTGGAGCCTTCTCTTCTCCAGGTGAACACCCCCAGCTCTCCTGGCCTGGCTCCACAGCAGAGGGGCTCCAGCCCTCAGAGTATTTTCATGGTACTCCTCTGGATACACTCCAGCAGGTCCATGTCCTTCTTACGTTGTAGGAAGAGAGAGTTAAATACAAAATACTTATTTTTCAATACTTATTTTTTCAAATTTCTGTTAATGTATGGATCAGGATGGAGAAAGGAAAAGAGACAATATAAGGTGACAGGAACTGTCAGACAGCCAACCATCCATCCAGTGTTGTCAGGGGAAGGAGGAATAACACTCAAAGTGTGTGCAGTTCTTACTGAAGAAGCGTGGCAAGGATGCAAAGGATACAAAATTCCACAAAAACTACCTGTCAGAATACCTGCAGCAACACGATTGTTTAACCACAAGGGTGAACAGCTGCATGTCAGTGCTGATAACAAGGCACAGTCAAATGCAGCAGACTATTAACCACTGTCAAAACACACCTGGCAAGCACTGCTTGGAAAATACAAAGTTTTATTTCGATTTCTAATACGGGATTTGACGAGTTTACAAAACCTGACTGAGGAAAATACCTGACTGACATCTGGGAATATTTCAAGAAGTTACACAGTATTTAAATTCTAAATGTAAATTTGTCTTTTAACATCTTTTCTGCTTGAGATTAGCTATTCTTTATTTCAGCATAGCTGAGAGCAGAAACTTGAGGCATTCATAGGATGGTTGAAACAGTGTATTGCCAAGTCACTTCAACCATTCCAGGGAGAACTGTGCCTCAGATCCAGCTCTAATATACAGGAACAGCAACCTTTCACATGTTACACAAACATACTGAAAAATGAGACATTGGGGTCATTCAGATATTGAAATGCAAAAGAAAAGCCAAACAAGTTTTGTCCCAGCTTGGAAAGAACAGCATCAGCAAGGGAAGTTACCACAGTAGTCACAGCTGCCAACAAAACCAGGCCAAGATGACAAAAACGCTGGCAACACCAGAAAAACTGAGTCCCTGGAGGGACAGACACACTGGCTCACAGGAGCTCATTAGCTCTGTTCTGGGAAGCTGTTTTTTACCACAACTCTACACATGCCACAGGAACAATGGAGACCTGGCACTGACTGCCCACCTCTCCCTGCCTGGGGACACAATTCCACACCGAGCTTTGCAAATCTACACCTGCCACACAAAACTGGGCCACAAAACTACATCCTTAAAATGCCTTTTAAAAAGCCTGGCAATTGTTATGAATATCCATTTTTATGCAACCCAACAGATTATCACAAACCTTGTGATGACCTCGTTTTAGCATTATGACTTTGTTTCTTTTTTTCCTCTCAAATTCATTTTTAGGTGATGAAGCAGGTGAAAGTTTTCAAGCAGAAAGCACTAGTTTTGGCTAACAAGCTCAAAGGACCTGTTTCAAAGGTAAAAGTTGGTCAACCAATTATACCTGAGTAGGTACTTGTCTCATATAGCATTGGCTAAATTCAAGACTGTAACTGAATTCAGTATCTAGAAAGGGAAAATCTGTGTTGGCATGAACAGATGTAAATCCATGGGGTTTTTAAACTGGGAAGGGAAAAAGAGACTGCAAAGAGCACCAGTTCAATTAACTGCCTCCCAGCACTTAAACTACCCACAAACAATAATTCCTAATTAGCCTAAGTTAGCCTAATTTAGCCTAATTTCTCATGCTGAATTCAACTACAACAAATGCTAAATACCAAGAAAATGTGGTATAAAATAATAAAGTGCTAATAGAATGGACGTTAAAGACTTTTTTCCCAAAGAATTTAGCATTACAAAGTGTCATGAGATTTAAAAAAAAAATCCAGTAGGAGCAGAAAACACCCATTTCCAACACCAACATCCATGTTACAGAGAAGTCATCCAAAACCACTTAAAAGCATACTCAGGCAGAGAGTACCTGTATCAGTTTAAAATCACAGGCCTTTCCTTCAAACACACTTTCACAAAGTATCACCAACAAAACACAAAAGCACACAAGACATTTAACTGTTCTAAAAGTATTTAAGCCTTCTTTAACACGTTCCTTCAACTATTTTAAGAGAGGAAATCTATTTTAACCTGCTGAAGAATGCAAGACTTCCTGCACTAACATATAAAACCAAGGCACGACTCAAAGCTGTGGGAAGAATTCCTGCTTCCCTTTATTTCCCAGACACCTTGCCCATGCAGCATTTAATATAATGCAGACATTTCCCAAATCCTTCACTCTGACTTAGGTTCTAACTAAAAAGTAGGAGCAGTTTTCATAGTGCCTAAAAAGCCCTATTTGACTAACTAATCTATGCAAAGGTTAACTCACCCAACAATTAACGGGGTGTCAAGTCCAAAAAAATAGGGAAAAAATGACCAACAATAGTTTTCTTACATATCGTAGTTCTCAAAAATAAAGTACAACATAAGTGATAACTGGTGAAAGGGGACACAAGTAAAATCCAAAACTAGACAACTAGATGTTGTGATTCCATTTGCATACATCTCTTATTGCCACAAAAATCTTTAAGAAATTATATAAAAAATAGAAGATGTGCCATTTTTATATGTAGATGTACTGTTTATATGTTGCAGCAGTACCTGGTTGAAATCAGACTGCTGAATTTTGCTTCCTTTAAGAAGTGTTCTAGCATTCCCCTGTTTTCTCCCAAAGCAGGAAGGGCCTGGGAATTACAACCTAATGCCAAGTTTTTAACTCTGGTGCTCTTAAAGACCCTTTTCTCTCACGCATTATGAAAAAAAATGAAGCCAAAAAAAATTATAAAACTGAGAAGGAAAAAAATCCAGGCCAGGAGACAAAACAGAACAGAGCTAGACAATGGATTTGGCAAGACAGGGCTGAGGAAGCAAAAGAAAACAAAGCGGGAGGGAGGCTGAAAAGAAGGAACAATACAGAGGGAGACCAGATTTAGCTGGTCAAGAATGGAGGGAAAGGGAGGGAAGAGGTAGGAATCAGGATTCTAAGAGACTGGAGAACAAAGGGCAAGCTGGGAAAAGCCTGAAACTGGACATGAGGGGATTACAAGTGAAACAAGAACAAGCAAGGGGAGTGGGAAAACAGCCATAAAGGGAGATGCCAGGCAGAACCAGCCCATGGAACAGTGGGTTGCTGTCAAAGCAGGCCCTGTCAGCATCAGCCCCACCTATTTACTGCCTTAGGTTGGCAACAGACACTGTGACGTTGCAGGACAAGTCAAATAGGAAAACTGGAAGTTGAAGGAGTTGTAGGGGGACAAGGTTGGGTCACCCCCCCACCCTCCAGCTCCTTTTTCAACCAAGTGACCCCGTTGATCCCGTTGGCCACGTGGCTTCAAGAGTCGACAGACACAAGGTGGGATGTGCAAGGAGAGGCTCAGGAGAAAGTACTGCTTGATTTACTGACATCTTTTATCATTCCTGGAAACCTGTGTGCCCTCATGAATGCTGGTGCAATGTGGAAAAGGACCAGGGTGGTGAAGAGACAGGGACAGGACAGCAGGGCTCCAGCCAGGATGAAGTAAAGTCTGCCACCACTGCAACACATTCCTTCCCAGTGTGACTGTTAAGTTCCAATACACTTCTGCTGTCACAGAAAACTCAAAAATAAACCAGGGCAATTTCCTCTTCTAAATCCCTGAGAGCAGTCAGCTACTCTTCTCAGTTATACCAGTACCCTTAGTAGGTTTATATGGAAATTTCCAAGTCTCTGAGTAAAAAAAAAATTCACTTTTCAGAACAGACTGCTGAAGCCTGAGGTAACTCAACAGACCTTTCTCTTCACTCTTTTGGCCTTCCCTCTCCCTCCTCAAAAAATAACATAAAACAAAAGAAATCACTTAAAGAACAGGATTAAGTCAATTAGCCAGTAATAATAGATTTGTTCCCAGAATAGCTTGCTAGCAGAATTCAGTGGAATACTGCACACAAATAATTTGATCATTACTCATGTTACCACAAGAAGTTGATATACTCCAGAAAATAATTAAAAAATAACATTCATTCATAAGCTTAAGTTTTAGTATGTAAATTTTCTTAAGCCATTGCACAAATATTCGATTCCAGGTTTTTAAACTACATTCTATTGTTTTCAGATATCAGTGAAATAAATCCTGATACAAAGAGAAATGGAATGGTGAGCTGAGAGAACCAGAAACAGGCAAATACTAGAGAGGGGTTCTGGATGTGCACTTTATTACTCACCCACACTGCACATCTGCAGCTCACAGACAGATCTGAGTAACAGCTCACATACATTAAAATGCAATAGCTGAGATTACATTGTTATACCTTTCCCTGAACCAAACAGTTTTCAACAGCTATAAAACATATTATAATGCAAAACCTCTTTCTGTTTAATATGAATTTAAAATCTTTCCAGGCCTTACAAATTATATGCATTTCATCTTCTCTCCAGGATACAGACAAGGGACTGGAAGGGTTCAGGCTGGGCTAAGGGCACATGGCATAGCAAAGACACAAATTTACAGGAAAACTCAGTACCGCATTTAATATCCACACAAAGACTTCCCTTGAGCAAACAATTCCAGCTTACCTTGACAGAAACTTGCTCATACCAGAATCTTCTCCAGATTCCATTACGATGTTGAGATCACTAATAACAGAAGACACCTTCTCTTTGCTCTAGGTTGGAGAAGTAACACCACAGTATTTTAGAAATTCCTCTAGCAAGGAGAAAAATATATGTCTATTTGCATGTAAAATAGAAGTATTTGCATATACTTCTTTCTAACTGCTATAATTCTTAAAATAGCATTTTTTTAACTGCAGCTTGCATGTGTGGACAATTTCCTTCATTTCAACAGTAGTAGTATTATCCACACAACAAGGCTTTTGGAATAACACCTGAACTTTTCAGCATAAAGAATATATATGCATAAAAGAATGTTCATCTACTTCCTTTTACGTCAAGTCCACTTCTTTAAGATTCTTCTCATTTTCCAACACAAGCACAAGCCCTAGCTGCCACATATAACAGAAAAATCAAATATAAGGTTTGATCTGTCAGTTTTCCTTTGTATTATTTTATTTTAAAGCCTATAGTTTTGCCTCAAATTCCTGTCCCTTTTTACAATTATAACTGATACTTAGGAATGCGTGCATGATAACAAAACCAAAATGATTCTAAATTAAAATATCTAACAACCTGTTAAAAAGGAGAAAAGAAAGTCAGAGGGTAGAAATAAAGCCACAAATGAAGTCAATGCTGTTTTTCTGTGCATTCTAGAACACACCAGAGTAATGGATTAGATAACAGTGAATGAAAAAGCTTAAAATCAGGGTTTGAAGAACACAGCAAATGTTTCACTTGAAACTGGAGACTTGGTACTTTATTTTTCTTATACCCAGTCACTACAAGCAAATGGGAATGGCAACAGAGGAAACCAGCCAAGCTGGAGTTAAAAGCACAGAGATCTCAGCAATCTGCACTGGCTGGACAGCAGTGCTGCCAACACTGCCAGCACTAAAGATGGGAAAAGCAAACCAAGGCACTACAAAGATTAGTGGATTGACTAAGTAACACCAGGAAAAGTCATTTTAGGGTTAGAGCAGAAGGTTCAGCACGGGCACGGAGTGGCAGAGAAGCCGCCAGCAGCCACCAGCTGATGTGCTGCCTTCGGGAGGAACTGGATTCCCAAGGAGTGGGTCACTAACACACCAAAATGCCACCCTGGGGCCAAACAAAAAGGTTTCAAAGGAAAGCTCTTGCCAAGAAAGCAACTCTTCTTGAATGATTGCTTTCTCAAGAGGCTTACACTTGTTCTGGCACATTTTCAAGCTCATTGTTCGTGTCTTCTCCTAGTCCTATGGAGCTGAGTTAAGTGTACAGTAACTTCACTACCAGAACAAACAGCTACAGTTAACAGTGTGAAAAAAACTGTTCTTGACCTCCTGCTGCAAACCAAGGTATCTGTTACCTGCTGGGCACTTCCCAAAACCAGCTGTCACCTTCTATTTCTCACCACAGGTAACAACTGAGCACTACCTTGCCCGTGCTGATGTCAGGGCAGGTTATTCTGAATACCATGTTAATGCCATCTCTTACAAAACAGGCTTCTTTTATATGCAAGAAGCCAGAGGTACAAAAAAATTAAAGCTCAACTACCAGGTCTTAATCTGGCCTGAAGTCACAGTTTTCCTCAAAGTTATGGGGGTGGACTCCTGCATCCTCAGGATGTACTGACTTTGCTGCAGGGTGACCTGCAGAGTGTATGAAGGCTGTGGCACAACCACGATGCCACTCCTTTTACACCACAGGAACAGCCAGCTGGAACTAGGCAAAACCTCTGATTGCAGTTGTCAGCAACCTCGTCATGAGATAAGCTTTTGCACTGTAAAGAGTAACTTTTTATCATATAAATTACAAAAAGGTACACCTTAAAAATAGTATCCTTAAGCTTAAATTTTTAAATTCTATCAGAATCTATTTGGTTTAAGGAGTCCTAACCAAATGAAAATACAGAATTGGGCACAATGGTAGTCTTTTGCAACTCTAAGCAAACCATTCTGTTATAATTTGTTCAACAGCTAAAACACACTATGACAGAGTCTCAGAATAGTTTGGGTTGGAAGGGACCTGAAAGACCATCTTGTTCCAACCCCCTGCTGTGGGCAGGGACACCTTCCACTAGCCCAGGTTGCTCCAAGCCCTGTCCAACCTGGCCTGGAACACTTCCAGGGATGGAGCAGCCACAGCTTCTCTGGGCAACCTGTGCCAGTATAATTAAGTCAATGCAAAAACTTCCATCACATTCAAGTTCATCTGCAATCACAAAACTCAAGTGAAGGGACAGAAATGACTGTTTGAAACAGTAAGTGCCCTTCTTGACTTGGCTACATAACACCAAAAATAAACCCCCAAACTTGTGTATTGAGGCCCAGTTAAAAACTGTACTCTTCATTGGTGTCTGCTGAAGCAATTTACCATTGTCCACAACATTTCCATCACCCACACCACACAAATGCACAAAATAGTGGCAATCCAAACTTCAGGTAAACTGATACAACTTAATATGCAACGCAGAGGGTGTAAGTTAGAGCTGGCCATGTACTTGTATAAGAGAAAAACAATTCATTAAAAAATTAACTCAAAATTGTACTTTTTCAAGTGGGTTTTAAAAAAATATCTGTACACCTGGTATTCCCCATCTCCCTCTGGTGATCTCAGCGCTCAAGTAGCCCCAGCTGCAGGCATGAGGCAGCCAAGTGCTGCCACACGGTGGTGTAATGGCTTTAAGCATCACCAACGCCGTTAGCAGTAAATTTAACACCCCGTTCCTCCTCTGAGCTCCACCGACACCACAAGATGTCGGTGCACACATCCTGCAGGAGATGCAGCTGAGAGAGGCACAGACATCTCACCGGGCCTCAGGACTGGTGCAGGATGTTTCTGTGCTCAAAGCCAAGTTTTATACAAGCAAATGGTAAAGTGGCATCTCAAGGACTGCATGTTTCAAGTCACACACGGACTTCAGAGGTTGAAGAACGACCTCTGTCAGCTGAAGTCCTGCGGTTTCAAGTGATGCAATCCACGTGTGACTATTAAATACTCAATTTCCAAATCCATAATATGGCTTTTCCTAAGATTAGGACTGGCATCTTTACATAACAAGGCAGTTTACTGTCAGTCCAATCTATACTATCAGTTCAATCACATTAACTCTAAAAAAACCCCAGCACTGACATTTGTCCATTTGAAGTTTTGTTTGTTTGCTTGGTAGTTGCCTTTTTTTTTTTTAAATATACATTGATCCTTACCTGCACTTCAAGAAGCTGGAATTCCAGTTGAAAAGACAGGGAGTGACAATTCCCAGACAACCTGTGCTTCTGCACTGTTCTGTCTCTAGCTGTTATAAAACAAAAGTTAACAAAATGACCAATTACAATTCTACTCAACAATTGCTGCATTTCTTCCCAACTGATACCAGCCACGTAGAAAGAATTAAACATGTTTAAAGAAACACAAGAGATTTCCCAGGGGTCTGTCACTTCCCACTACGCAAAGCACAATATTTACTCAAACTGTCTGGTCAATAAAGAAAAATCTCATTGTATTTCAAAATAATTGTCTCTCTGCTAACACTGGAAGTAGAAATTACGACACAGGTTTGCAGATGTAACGAACTGCACGGATATTCTCAGTACAGAAAAGGGTACAAAACTCCTTACTTTTTTCCATTGTTTTCTTGGAATGACTTGTGAACTGAAAACCAGTAAGTTTCATCAAAAAGGACAGATCTGTTTCTAGACTTTCAAGTTGAGCTTTCAGGTCTGATGGAGATTCATGTCCCTTGGATTCTCCCTGCGTTTCTCTTTGGAATGATTTTCTAGAACGGAAAAAGACAAAAGTAAAATCAAAAGGGCAAAAGAGCTGGATGTAAGAACGGGTTTTGTCCCACCAGCACAGCAATATCACTGAATAAGAGGCATCTGAAATGTGATCTGATGGTTTCCAGATCAAGATCAGTTTTCAAGGAGTCAAATTCCAGTTGGATCATATTGCTGGGAACAGCAAACTCCTGAGATTTACACAAACACTTTCTGTTCACTGCCAGGTAGACACAGCCTTTGTTACAAATCTGGAGGTGCAAGTGTCCATTTCAAGGAACATCCAGCAGAAATGAGCTAAGGTGCCTTTACTCATCTAAATGACTTATTTTATCCATGGATTATATATTTACCACGAAATATCAGTTAAATAATGGGATTTAAAAGCCGCAACATGGCACTTCTTTAGCACATAATGAGTCACACCTCTGCATGTCCCCAACCTCTTTTTTTTCCCTTTTTCCCAAATAAACACCCCCTGAGCTGTCTGACTGGGCACAATGGAAACGAGGCCTTTGCAGTCACCAGCTCTGCAGGGCCCACACAGTGACACCCCTGACATCATGCTCGGACTGCCTTTTAAAGGACAAAGAAAGCAAAACCCTAAAAACCCACAAACCACCAACAGAAGGCAGCAAAGATAGATCAAATATTTATTATTTTCATTTTTTTCCTATATAGCCCATTTTCTAAACAAGATCAGCACTGGAAAAATAAGCTTTTGCCTCTGTGTTAGGACTTTCCTTATCCCAAACAATTCTGACACAGAAACACTATTAATGCAACGTGTGAAAAAAGGCATACATTGACTTCAATATCTCCTCCTCAGAAAAAAAGGTGGATTCTTGCTGGATATCTTCGTACTTTTCTGTCAATAGTTTTATTTCTTCTTCCAGTGCCTGGATTTCATCTTCATAAACTTGATAAACGTTGTTGTCCATTTCTCAGAATCAGTGTTACTCCACAAAACAAAATAACTATATTTCTCAGGAACAAACAAACACAGAATTAACTTTTAAAAAATGCAAATGTAACATTAGGCAATTGTTTCTCCTACCTCCCTACTTAAAATGAGACAAATTAATTGGATATTATCAGTTTTGAAAACTGAAAAACTGGTACATACAGGTTTTAAACATCCCAGGTAGCCCTGACACCTACAGTAATTTATACCTCCATAAAGAATTCTGTTTGCTATGGAAGATTAAACTAATATTTGAACCTTGATTCTTAGGAACCAAATTTGACAGGAATTCTGTCACCAGCTTGAAAACGGAATTAAGCTTGCAGTAAAACTGTCCTTAATACTACAGTGCCCTGTCATCAACTTAACACCTACTTAAACCCTAGAGGGTCCACCCAAGCTGATGTTACAAGAGCAGAAAAGTCACTTGTTCAATAGTTCTGAATGTAACAAACCTTCCTACAAAACACAACTCACTCAGCTAAAAGCATCAGGAACAGGAGAAATCGTACCTTCGGCAAAGCTGTGAACACAGGCAGCTCCCAGATACCAGCAGGGATGGGACAAAGAGCTAATCTCTGACTTTACACAGAAAAAGAAAAAAAAAAGGAGAGTTTTCTTCAAAACAGATATTAGTTTTGAAAAAAAAAATCATAATTTTGTTTCATTGATTCCTCAAAGAATTAATTAAATCCAATCAAAGTTGAAATAATTTTAAGACACAGATCACTGCACAGCCTCCAAAGACAAAGTTAAATTAGGAATCTAATGGGGTCAAAGGCTTTAAGGATCTTTTTAACTAATCATGACTTGATCCAGGAGCAGATGCAGCTGGTTTAAATTTGCTGTAACAGAACAACAAACTGCTCTACAGGTAAAACCCAGTCCTAATCAGATATAAAACCGGGATCCAGCTGCGACCAGTTCACCCAACACTCAGCTGGTGAGATGAGGCACAGCTGTCCCTGACAGCAGCATCATCTGCCTTTGGATTAAACACCAGGAAAGAGGCACAAACTGCAACCACGTTTCACAAATAATTCAAAATAAATAAACCTCAGCGTTCAGGGAAAATAATAATAATAACCTGACACATTCAGAGGACTGTAGAGGATATTATGCAGCTCGACACTGATGTATTAATATTTTCAACCAGGAAAGAAACATAAGTCGACTTGATGTGTTTTTAAACCATCCCTATTGTACCTGCAAGATCCACACTAACATTGTTCAATAAAAAGGGATGAGGGGGGGAATAGGATTTTGTTGGTTTATTTCGTAAGAAACAGCATCTGAATAAGACTTATATGAAAACAACATTAAAACATGTTTTGCACTAGAAACCCAGTGAGTAAATAAAGAATATGCAATTAAAGAATCGCCAAGATTGTACCTAATCATGACTGACCCTGACATTTTGAAGCAATTTGATGCATTAAATGCCAACATGCAAGAAATAGAAGTTCTCAACTTTTAATGCACCCTATCAGTTTGGGGGGATTTTTTTTTTTTTTAAACTGGATACAGTGAGGAAAGTTATGGTCATAATAAAGAGCACGGTGGGAAAAAAGGAAAATATTTCAGCAGCCAGAACTTTACCCCAGGTTTGCTGACCCCTCTTTTAACAGCAATAACAGGACACACAAACTGCTTACAGCTACTTGAACCAAAGGCTTTCGCCAGAGACTCAGACTAGTTGTGACCGCAAAGAGCTTTAACTCCAGAAAACAAATACCCATTAATTAATTATTTTTAAGTCAATAAAAACTTTCTACAAACAGGCAAACACCTCTCCTCGCCCTAAGCATGCGCACGTATATCACACGTGTGGATATATCGCATAAATGTGTATATTTATGCATGCTTGTGCATTGACAGTACATATTCCACATTGCTACATACCTGCCCGGCTCTGAGAGAGGTCGGCAGGACCCGGCGCTCAGGGAGCGGAGAAAGGAGGACCCGGACTCGGACTCCGACTCGGACCCGGACTCCGACTCGGCTGTGAGGGAGGAGCGGAGCCCTCAGACCCGGACCCGGCTGTGAGGGAGGAGCGGAGCCCCCGGACTCGGCTCTGAGGGGGCGCGAGCACCCCCCGGACGCGGCTCTGAGGGGGCGCGAGCACCCCCCGGACGCGGCTCTGAGGGGGCGCGAGCACCCCCCGGACGCGGCTCTGAGGGGGCGCGAGCACCCCTCGGACGCGGCGCGAGCTCCCCGCGCCTTTCGAACCGCGCGCCCGGGCGCTACCACAGCTCCTCCCCGAGCGGGGGGCGGGGCACCGGCCGCGCCTTCCTCCCCGCTCCTTCTGAAACGACGGAGCCGCTGGAGGCACAGTTTCAGAGTCCCGTATTAGAGACAAAAGGCAAAAACGTTACTTTGAGAGCCGTTCTCTTGTTTAGGTTAATTTCCGCTCGCGTATTTGCGGAAAACGCCCCTGGCTTTTCCTCCCGGTTGGTTACTCCCAAAGCGTCCGCAGTCAGAGGGCCCAGCCCATGTGTCCCCACCATAACTTGACCGGCCGGAAACATGAAGCTTGTCAGAATGCGGCTGCCCGGGGAAGCGGAACCCTTTTTTCCCGCGTGAGGGGCGCTGGGGGGAAGGTAAATTGAGTGGCGCCGCGGGGAGCGCACATGGCAGCGGTGAGGGGGCGCAGGGGGAGCCCGCGGGGGCGGCGGGGCCGGGACCGGGACCCTTCGGGCGGGGGATCCTTCAGCCGGGGGTCCCTCGGCGTCTCCTATGAGGATGGTCAGGTCTGTGGGTCTCGCCTCACCCTCCTAGAGAACCCTTGAGTTATATCGTAAAGAACCGGATACACTTTATTATCGCGCACCCAGTGATGTGGTTAAAGGTTTGTAAAGCAATAACCCTAAACCTTGGTGAGTGCAGCAGCACAGGGTTTGCAGAGCAAAGCAGGGAGCGCCGTTGCCGTGAGGTTCCTCATGGCTTTCGGGGGGGATGATTTGTCCATAATTTTTCATCCCATTCGCGTTAACCCCGCAGTGCCACTATCACTGAGCTGTTGTTGTCTCCCTGCAGGAAAGCAGAGTGTGTGTTCCCGGCGGGATACTTTGATTTCTCAGCATGGACAAGGAGCAGGTTTCCAAACGTTTGTATGTTGGGGGGCTTGGCCACACGGTTTCCAGGGCTGAACTGGAAGAAAGATTTGGCAAATTTGGGCGTGTTTTGGATGCAGAGATTATTACCAGAAAAGATGATGAGGGTAATGGTTTTACTTCATCCTTTATAAGTTCATTGCTTTTTACTTTGAAGTGTGAAATGGAATATTTGCTCCAGAGACACTTTAATTTTCAGGAAATAGCTTCGTTTTCAGTTTTAAAGGAAACACTGAAATGATGTTGAAATTAACTGGATGTTTCTTATTGATCAGGGAACCCTATGAAGACTTTTGCTTACGTCAGTGTCAACATTTTGGATGCAGATCTTAGGAAGTGTAAGTACATCTTTTTATTTTTCTCTTATTTATGTTTTTGAGCCAAGTTGCATTGCTGATAGTGCATGTGATGTTGTCACATCGGGGTGTGGTCAAGGCACAGCCTGTTTCAATCTGTTTTATTAATTCTACTTAAAGGTGCAGTTTTAGGGGTACCTTTCAGATACAGACTTTAACCAAGTGAGCAGTAAGGTGTAAGATCATGCTGAAGAAACCTCAGTCTGGCATAGAAGGAGGTGTAGTGAAGTCTGGGCTGTGCTTTTTTAATGTAGAAAATACTCATTTCCCCTCTCTTTGTTTTGCAGGCATGTCAATTCTAAATAAAACAAAATGGAAAGGGGGGACACTGCAAATCGAGTTGGCCAAAGAAAGCTTTTTGCACAGGTAAAAATCAGGCTTTAAAAATATATATTGTTGCTCAGTCTTTTTCTGTTTATCTGTTTATATTATGATAATAACATTATATATTATTTCATCTTCTACACTCCTGTTCTTTACAGTTTTGATAGGCACTGGTGGAGTGTTGATGCACATTTGATGCTGCAACCTGATTTAGATCCTTATTCCCTTAAAGGGAATGTCAGGATGTTAAGTCCTTGAGCAGTGAGTGGTTGCTGTTCCATGGGAGGGGGTCCCTGCCAGCTCTAATTTAGCACTTGTGCTTTGGCACAGCACTTCTTTTCAGGTATGATGTACCTTTTGGTGCAGGCTTGCCACGGAGAGGGAGGAAGCAAAGCTGCAGAAAGAAAAGCCACAGAGAAATAACCAAACCTGTCTGTTGGAATCACTGAAAAAGACTGGAGTTGTGGACTTCCATATGAAAGCAGTACCAGGTACAGAGGTGCCAGAGCACAAGGTATGGTGGGGTAGATGGGTGAGAGAGTTAAACCAGCAGAAAGCAAGCTCAGTGCATCTAAATTTATGCCAAATCTCTATGCCTTGTCTGAAGAATCTTAATTATTAAGGGTGACAGTCCAAGCTGTGAAAAATAGGCTGAAGAAAGACCTCATGTGGAGACAAGGAGAAGGCTCCTGTCCTTCTTTGTAATGACATAATCCTGATCCCACTGTCCTCTCTCATCATGTTAAATTAGGAATTGCTTTGTTCCTCATGTATGTTGGGAATTTACATAAGTATATAGTATGATATACATTCATGTTACCCTTAAAAGCTTATAAAGAGAATATGTGATTTATTTTTATACAGCATTTAATTATTTTGATAGCTGGGCTGTCAGGAACTACTCTCTGTGCTTCAGCACATTCAGGGTCAGGGTCTGCACAAGCTTGCAAGAGTAAGAATAAAATCACTGAACGTGCAAATTAAGGCAAGAAGGATTATATTTACTACAGAGTTTCCAAAATTATTTGCTAAGCACAGAATGGTTTTGGAGGGATTTTTGGTTTTGGTGGGAAAGGGGAAGAGAGCAAAGTAATAGTGATACTGTTAATTCATAATTCAGTCACTGTTAATTCATAATCCAGAAGCCATATATTAGAAATAGTAGTTGTAAAGTAAAGAAAGTTACTTCTTTATTATCACTCTTTATTTGCAGGTTGTAGAAATTTGGTTTTTTGGTTGGTTTTGGTTTGTTTTCTTTTTGAGAAGGAAGCTGGCTAAGGTGCACAGTAGAATTATATCTCACTTAACAAAGTAAACAGAATTGGTCACAGATGGTTCTATATTAGTGGTTTTGTTACCCAAGAATAAACATCCTATTCTATTACAGGGTCACTTCCACTCTTTTTTTGTTTAACACTGATTATTTTTCTTTTCTTTTAGAAGTGGGTTGTTGGTAAATTTGGCAGAGTCTTGCCTGTCCTGCACCTCAGGAATCAGCAAAAAAATAAAATATCCTTTTCCTATTGTTTGGGCACAGGCACAGTTCCCTTCCTCATTTTGTCACGTGGAGAAACAGTTGCTGAACAGTCTTAATTTTGACTGCTATGTCAGACTTCATTTACTGAATCCCCCAAGTAAATCTCACAGGAAGTGGTGTGGTTTGGCTGAGTTTCTTTTCACTGCAAGTCAGTGGCTTAAAGGCATAAAAAAAGACTCCTTGTTGTCCTTTCACGCAGAATTCATTTCCTCTTCATAAAGACTCGACTCTGCTTGCTGGAGGAATCCTGTTGTTTTACTCCTTAACTCAGATCAACATTGTGAAATATGACCCCTCCAAGTATTGCCATAACCTGAGGAAGCTGGAGCCAGACCTGGCACAGGCAGCTCCTGTGTCCGAGCTCACCTGGCACTTGGAAGGGGGAGATGCCAGTGCCAGCAGGAAGCGACCAGCAGAGTTCCCTGGGATGAAGAAACTCTGGAAAAAACTGAGGCAACTGGGCAGTGAGGCCCTGAACGGAGCAGCAGTTCTGTCCTCTGGGGGCCAGGCCCATCCAAACCACCCCAGCTCAGCACAGCTCGGTCAAAGAGCAAAACCCAGAGCCAGTGACAAGTCTAAATTGCCTCCATCAAGGAGTCTCGAGGGTGAAACACCAGGGAGAGGTTTATTGGCACATCAAAGCAATGTGAATGGAGTGGCAGCTCAGAGTGGTTCTGACAGTGAGGTTGATTCTGAAGAGGAGATCAGAGCAATGGTGAAGAAAGAGAAAGAAAAACAGCAAGCAGGGAACGTTGAGAGTGAAAGTGACCCCCTGGAAGTTGTTGGGGGTGATTTTGAATTAAAATACAATAGTCACTGGTCCTTATGCAATCCAGATGCCATGAAGAAACCTATCAAAGCAAGTTACAAAGAGACCATGGAACGTGATAATGGTTATGATTCAGCAGATACGGATGAAATT